ATAACTTAAAAGAATTTTTGTAAACGATCTTCGCATTTCCCTATGGAAAATTGATTTCTGGTTTGGAAAGGTCCAGCAGTCTGTTTATAAGCAGTAGATTAAAAATAAGTGAAAAAGTAAATAAATAAAAATTTAAAATAAAGATGGACAAGAAATTCTAAAAATAGATCATTTTAAAACAACTGTGGAAACTTTATCTTACATTATTCCAGAAGATCACAATAAAATACAATTTTAGTTCAAAAAATAACTCAAGAAAATGAACAAGTGTGAATGAGAAAGATACGTAAATTCCACATAGGATACAGATCTAATAACCAAGTGGGTATTTTAGAAAGGTTAACCTTGACTTAAAGGACCTAACATGAGAGAGATTTAATATTTTCGGCCTGTGCACATTTATTTCATTAATGTTTAATGCCATATACTTAGCAGCATTTGAATAAATGGAATCAGAGGATTCTAGAAAGAAGATACAATTTATAGATATGTAATTCTCAGATCTCCTGAATCTTAAATTTGTCATACTAGGATTTAATGAAACAAGTTGGAGCTATCGTTTATATTTTTGAAGGGGAGGAACTGAACTTGCTTGTGAAAAATATTTTTTAAAAAAATGTTTAACTCATTATTTCTTTGTCTTTGCTGTTGTCAGTGGCATAAGAAGGGGCTGGCCTTATTATTCTGCATATTGCAGTTCTTGTCAATGACCTGGTAAGTCTTACACTAAATAGAAAGTTAAAATTTCCTAAGCAGTGCCATGCATTTTGTTCTGAGCCTGTAAGCCTAGGAAGGTCATTGGCATTTTACCGGGTCAGGTAAGCCTGTGCCTTGGAGGGGAAGGGCCTCCTGAGAGGTCAGGTGCCTGAGGTCTGTAGTGTGTCCTGGGGGGCCTAAATGTGGGAGAGCTGAGGAGAGGCACACAGGGCTGCGTTCACTTCTCTAACGTGTGAAACAGAAATGCAGGAGGTGCCACACGAACCCTGAGGTCCAGGCTGAGCCACAGGATGAGCCCGAGGGCACGGCGGGGAACCACTCACTGCCTGGTATTGCTGAGCACCTGCCGAGTGAGTTCGTTCTGGTGCCAACTCCTCAGCGAGGCTGCTCTGCCCTTGCCTCTCCCTGAGGCGCCCTCCCCTCTGAGCGTTCAGTCACACCGTCCTTCCTGATCGCTCCCTCCCCAGGCCACGTTCAGGTCCTGGGCTGACGGCCCAGCGAATACGATTGAGTTGAATGTGCCCTCCTTGCACGCTCCCGCGTCAGACCAGAAAGGTGTTCTTCACGTACAAAATATTTCTACGAGTGTTTTTCCTTTTTCTTTAGAGCTCAGTCTTGTTTGCTTCCTTGCAATTGTCAGTAAACCCCTTCCTGACTTTGCTGTTTTAAATTTCTCCTTTTTGATATCACCCAATCTGAGATCAGTGGTTTTTGGTTTTTGTTTTTTGTTTTTTTGCGGTACGTGGGCCTCTCCCTGTTGTGGCCTCTCCCGTTGCGGAGCAGAGGCTCCGGACGCGCAGGCTCAGCGGCCATGGCTCACTGGTCCAGCCGCTCCATGGCATGTGGGATCTTCCCGGACTGGGGCATGAACCCGTGTCCCCTGCATCGGCAGGCAGACTCTGAACTGCTGTGCCACCAGGGAAGCCCCAGTCTTTGTTTTGATGCTGTTTCTACCTTTCCGCTGACGGAATGTCAACAGATGTCAAATGCAGTTCTCTGCATGTTACAAAAGAACCTTATGATGTTGTTTTACTCTTTTTCAGTGAAATGTGGAAAAATTTAAATCTTTGTTATTTTCTGTTAATATGTTGCTTTTTATTGTTAATCTGTACTTAATGATTGCTTTATCCCTGAAGGAGAGTGCAGTTTATTCTGTTATTTTATAGTTTTTATTTTTAAAAAATAACTTGAAAAGGGTAATACAACAGGCTTTTTATTACAGCAGGCTTCAGCAGGCATCAGAATCAGAGTTTTTTAAAAGCACATTGCTTACTGAGACGCAGTTTCTCATTCAGGAGGTGTGGGGGGGCAGGAATCTGCGTTTTTAACGAGTTCCCCGGTGATGCTGTATGCCGTCAAGGGTCATACTTTGAGAATCACTGTGCAATAGTCTACTGCTTCATTTTTTATGGTGTTAGAATATGGCCATTTGGCAAAAAGGAAAACATCATTCAGTTTCAACGTTCTTGAATTTTTCTTGCAGGTATAGTCTGTCGTACATCCCGTATGCAAGGTGAGCTTGTTTCAATTCTGTCTTGTTTCTGCTCCTCTAATGCTCTTTACACAGATACGTGAATTTTAGTAATTTTCATATTAAAATGTGATTTAAAAGGCTGATTTTGGTTGACTTTGTTCCCAGAAGGAAACTATTTTTTAAATGAGTGGAATAGAAGCTTGCCATATCAAGAAAAAACATGTTGAACAGATGTAACAGGTAGGCTAGGAGTGTACTTCTGATTTACCACCTGAACATTTGCAGTTAGTGAATTTTGGCAAGAGATTCTAGATCCTTCCGCGACTGCAAGTATTCAGTAAATAGGATATGGAGACTTCAGCAAAAATAAATTCTACTTAAAAAAAAAAGAAAGTTAATGAAAAAATCTGATATAGAAATGTTTGTTTTAAGCCAGTAGAAACATATTTATTCTGTATGTCAGGAGGTAATTGCCCTTTGTATAGCAAGAGGTAATTGCTGTTTTCTTGTATCTTTTCAGAGAAATGTACTAATTTAATTATGGAGGAAAAAACAAATACTTAATTGCAGTCTTAAATCTGACCGATTTGGAGGAATATTCTGTTGAGGCACAGCTTTGTTTCTTTGTGAAATTTGGAAACATAGGTTGCATATGAAAAACAGCAGAATTGTATGCCTGATACGAACAGTGAAGGAAATTGATAGCAGTTCTATTTTTATTCAGTTTCAAATGGATGATTCTTTTTGATGAACACCTAAAAGGAGAAAAAGCAAAGCAGGGTCAACTAAAGGAGAGCAGGCTTAGAACAGGAGCGCAGAGGTAACTTGCCAGTCCTCAGGACCTTGGCTGGGAGAGCTCTTGCTGTTTCTCAACGAGGGGAAAAGGTGCCCCAAATGATGTCCACTGCAGTAGAGCTGGAGCTCACAGCCAGGGCAGGGCGTCTGGGCAGTGACCACCCTCCCCAGAACTGTCGGGCCCTGCCCTTGAGAGCAGCATACAGTCTGTCCGTACATCTCCAGTCTGTTGGTGCTCGCCTTAGCAGTCCGTATTCATATAACAACAGTTCAAACTAACTGTTGTGAAGAGACATGTGAAAGGCGAATGAGGTTTTTCACATGAATTTTTTTGGAATTCTTAGGGACACAGTTATAAACGTTCTGCTTTTTAAAATCCAGTTCATTGTTTCTTTTTAAAAATACTTTCTTTGTTTTGGGTATTTACATTTATTTCTTCATAATAAAATTAGCATATGTGTTGTTTAAGATTTTGAAATAAATAAATACCATTTTAGCAACTAACAAATTATTTCCATGTCTCAGTTCTTGATTTCAAGTGATATTCAACAAAGTTTTAATTATGGAAAGGTACTGGGGGTTCCGCTGAGTTCTGACGGGAAAAGGTGATCGTGTATTTGTCTCTCGGCAGGAATCTTTTTGCAAGTTCACTCTGGAGGCAGGTTATTATATTGTTTTTCCTCTTTTGTTTTTTCACCAGGGATGCAGTAATTAAATGCTGTTCTTCTTTGCTGAGTTGAAAATCAGAAACTCTTTGAAAAGACCATTTGAAAGCTGATGTTCTGTTTTTGGTGAAGTATACTTTTCCTGATACAGTAATCACTCCAAAAAAACAACTGCACTGACCATTTAAGACCATTTTGTATACTGATAAAAACTACATGCTAATTAAACTGTTAAATGCTTGTGATGTTAAATTCATTTTGTGTCATTAAGATGCTCTTCCAGAGATAAGGAGATTTTAATCATTGCCACTTGTAAATGATTTTTAGCCAGTTTTTTTAATCTTTTCTAAACAGCATCTGAGATGTGTATATTTAAGGGTAAACCTATGCTGCAAGATATATTCAGCTTTTTTGGTGGTTTTAAAATGTCTACATTTTAAAAATATCTTATTAAAATAAAAACTTTAAATGTGAAATTTTTTATAAGCTAAAAATTGCTAATTATATGTAATAAAAATAATATATAAATCTTTATAATTTTGAAATAAACCCACACTTGGGAAAAACATTTTCTTGATCAAATTTATGTTTTAAGTGGGTGGTACATTGATTCAGTTGAATAAAATTTAGTTTGGGCACTTATGCAATCTTTCTGCAGAAAAACGAGTAGGATACAATCTCTGTCCTAATAATGGGGCTGAGCACAAGTCTGTGAAGGATGAGAGGCCGAGTAACAGTGAAAGCGTTTATCCATCAGTGTGCTGTTCAGGGTGCGAGCCTGGACACAGAGCCGGTCAGGACGGCCGCCCGAGGAGGCGGGCAGGCGGGGCGGAGCAGAGGAGCGAGGAGGGCTGACCGGCCAGGTTGGGTCGGGGAAGCCGGCCGAGAGGAAGGAGCCGGGCCGCCGAGGAGGGAGAGCCTGCGTGGCCTGCGCCAGCTCGTCTGCAGGGAAATGGCCCGGGCCCGGTGCCGGCACCACACCTCCCTGGGCAGAGGGAAGGCGGCCTCGGTGAGGAGAGTGGGGGAGGACGGGCTCCTGGGAGGGTGTGGGAGAAGGACTTGCTGAGTCGGTGAGGGGTCTGCTGGGGACCAGCACGAGGGCTGGGCTGGTGAGCAGAGAGCAGACACACCCTGTCCTGGACGGGGTCCTCATCTCCAGTCGAGCCCACGGTTGGAGTCATGCTTTAGAGCCACGTGTCCGCAGAGCCGACTGGAAGCCCGTTGCTGTGTGGGTGCAGAGGATCCCGGGACGGTACAGAGCAGCTTCGGGTGAAGATGTACTCCGTGGAGGTGGGGCGTGGCCTCGGGACGGGGGGGGGGGGGGGGGGGTCACTGAGTCCGCTGAGATGGTGCGGGAGGGAGGGACAGAGCCCTGAGACAGCCAGGCTGCGGCCCCTCGGAGCTCTCCGGCTTCACAGGGACCCTCTGTCCAGCCAGGCGGCAGCAGTGCAGATGCTCCTGGCGTCCCCCCCGTAGCTGCTCCGTGTCCCCCTACAGGGGGTGGGGGGACAGTTCAGTGAGCTTCAGAGCCTGTTGGCCTGGGTGGGACACGGTGCACGTGTGACCCCTGCAGGAAGGGACGGCGTCCGAGGTCTGCCCGCGCCGTGCTGGGCCCTGCCTTGCGTGGAAGTGTGGACCAGTCTCTCGTTACTTGCAGAATTCCTCGTCAGACTACTTGCGGCAGCCCTTCGGCAGGGGGGTCCCCCTTGGGAGGGGGCCTGTCGTGGTCGGAGGTCCGATCCACAGCAGGATCATCGCCAGAGCGGCCCTCACCTCCGGGTCACCGCTGGCCCTGCGGCCAGCCGGCAGCGCGCACGGAGAGCACGGCGGCCCGGGCACCTGCCTGCGCCTCCCTCTCGGCCTCCCCGAGAGCAATTCGTGCTGCTGCGGTCCCCTGGCGGGTCCCTGGGGAGGCTCCCCTCGTCCCCACACGTATGCAAACCTTAGAGTTCCTGTGTCCCATCGCTTTTGCCAGCTCCTCAAAGGCACTCCCCCCTGAACTTACAATCTGCCGTAACCCCTGAGGGGCCTCCGCTTGAGGCCGCAGCAGCCGTCAGGAGGGGAAGCGGGGCTCGGTGACCTTCACCAAGACTGCCCGCAGCTTGGCCACCCTTTGGAGGACAGCGTGCCTCGGGCGTGGGGTGGCCCTCCCACGTCTGGCTATTCGAGCTTGGACAAGGTGCTTACCTCTGTCAGCTTCCATTTCCTCATCTCAAGAAAATGTCTAAACATGGGGTTCTACCGGTGTTTCCCTGGCAGGACGGCTGGGAGGAATAAAGGAGTGAGCAGTGCCTGGCGGCAGCCTTCTATACACGGACCATTCAGAAAGCCTGTGGGCATCTGTTGGAAAGGCTGCTTTACACTCATCTCTGCGAGCCTTTGGGACACAGTGCATTGTACCCGAGGGGCCCCAGAGTGACCCTCAGGACTGCGGGAGGGGACGCTGAGCCCCACAGGCCCGAGGGCGTCAGGATCGCTGTTTAGGAGCTTCCGCGGGAAGCGGTGCCAAGGGTGTCCTGCTGGAAATGGCAGCGATGACAGGGCTTTGGGGCGGCCTCTCAGGTCCTGGGGCGTCAGTGGCTGGCGTCCAGTCAGGAACTGGGCTGGGAGATGACGGGCCCCGTGTGGCAGTGTCTACAGAGGACCCGTGGGGGTCTGGGAGAAGGACCCGCACCGGAGTCGGGGTGGAGCAGGGCGAAGAGACAGCAGCTCCTGTTTGCAGATCCTTCATCTTCTCTCTCCCCGACTCGTGTGACCCGGGAAGATGGGGACTTCGCTCTGTTCTTCTCTTCCAGTGGTAATTAAGCCATCTCTTGACATATGAACTAGCCGTGAAAACATCTGCAAGGTCATTTAAAATCACGGTCTGCTTCTACAAAGCCGCTTTAAGCCTGTCGTTGCACCTGCAGTGCTGGATTGGGGGTACGGGACACGCACAGGAGTCGCGGCCCACGTGGGACTGTCCGCGTTAAAGAGCGCCGTCCTCAGTGGCCTTCTCGCCATCCTTAATTTAGGCACTTTTCTTTCAAGTGAATTATTTAAGGAACAGCTTACAGCGAGATGCTTTTGTGGGGTGAGGAAGCACATCACGCCACCTACCTCTCATGGAGACTGTCTAGTGCTTGTGTTTAACGTGTCATGGGGTGCGTGGAGGTGAGCAGGGGTGCAGTCACACAGAAGGGTTCCACCCTGAGAAAGCACGCTCACCTGTGGGTAATGTGGGTGGCAAGGCCCCAGCGAGGCACACCTGCCCAGGTGACGGCAGCGGTGCCTCCACAGGGCCGCTCGGACCACTGCTTTTCTGTCCTCCACCCGCATTTCTTTCACTCCACCAGGACTGCAGCCACCTAACTCCATTTCTCCATTCCCGGAAGCATCTGCTGGCCTGGGGTTTCTAAGAAAGCGTTCATCTGCACACACGTTCCGAGCACAGGATAAATAAGACTGACAGCTGCTGCTTCTCCCTGCCCTATGGGAAGACACTAAGTACATTTCATACATCTAAAAACCTGAGCTTTGCAAGAAAAAGGGGTAATATAAACTGAAGGCGTATCATTTTTAATAGTACAGCTTGTGACTTTTCTTCCTGTGTGATCTCATGTTTTTACTTGCTTCCCTTTTTTCCAGGTTGTTACAAGAAGGAACCAAGTATTAAGTTTTGCTTTCAAAGAGGAGGACATGATGATGGTGATGGTTGGCGATATCAGAGAGGTGTTCCTTGTGCCGCCTGGCAGGCAGTGTAGCAGTTCTCAGTGTGGCCCAGGCCAGCAACATGCCTGGGCATCCCGGGGACCTTTTCAGGGTCCACTTTGGTAATTACCCCGACACTGCACTGTTCACTCTACCGTGAGTGCACAGCGGAGTCATGAGGCTGTGGGCGTGCGATCGCACAGGGATGGAGCACAGACCCCGCCACTCATCTCTGACCTGTTTTAGAAAATATTATCTTCATTAAATGTATTATTAACCCCTTTTTTCAAAGCCTCGGTTTAAATTCTTTTTTTTTTTTTTAATCCTTAAGCCAACTATTTTTTTTATCATTAAGTTATTTTTGGCTGTGTTGGGTCTTCGTTGCTGCGCGCGGGCTTTCTCTAGTTGTGGCGAGCGGGGGCTACTCTTTGCTGCGGTGTGTGGGCTTCTCACTGCAGTGGCTTCTCTTGTTGCGGAGCATGGGCTCTAGGCACGCGGGCTTCAGAAGTTGTGGCTCGTGGGCTCTAGAGCGCAGGCTCAGTCGCTGTGGCTCGCGGGCTTAGTTGCTCCGCGGCATGTGGGATCTTCCCGGACCACCGCTCGAACCCGTGTCCCCTTCATTGGCAGGCGGATTCTCAACCACTGCGCCACCAGGGAAGCCCCTCGGTTTAAATTCTTAACAAGATTAACATCAGTAGATAGAGGCTACAGAACAGAAGCTCTTTGGGTCCTGAGAGTGTAAAGGGGTCTTGAGACCCACTGGCGCTGAGTGGTGAGCGTGCTTTGGGCTCTCACTCCCTGGACGGGTATCGCCCCCGCCATGCTCTGGGGCTATTTGGGTAAACCTTGGTTTCTTCATCTGTAAAATGCAAGTGTTACTGCTTCTTCTCTCATAAGACTCTCAAGAGGTTTCAATGCAGTAATCTCAATAAAGCAGATTATTATCCTAATGATGGGAAAAAAGAAAGACTAAAGCAAATAATATCTGAACAATTTCCTAAATGTTTTCTACTCGCGAAGGCTTTCACAGTAACAGACCAGTGTCACAAGGAAAAATGGAGGTGTTTTCCAGTTATTGGCCAAATTCTCTATGTCTCAGTAATAAAATAGGATTTTTAAAACTAGAATGAGCTTTCCACATTTTAAAATTCAGATTTAGTTTTAGTTCTAGATGTTGGATCTAGAACATTTACTTCTCGCTCTATTAAGTAAAATGCTTTGAATTAAAATACAGAAATGGAAAGAGGGTGTAACTGGAAAAATAAGATTGATTTATTTTCCTTTTTGAAATTTTTCTGAACATTGAAGTATATGCCTTAGTAGAACCAAGAACCTAAAACATTAATGAGGAAAATGAAACATTTCTTGAAATAATGGCTAATTTCCTGGTATTATGGTGCGATCACTGGCTGTAATTTAATCAACTGGTAACTCTGTGGCGATGACCAGTTGATCACACATGTCTGTGTGATAAAGAGCACACGTCCATTTTGGATGTATCTGTGGGGTCCAGGTGTGAAGTGGGAGCATGTCTACAGCCATTATTTGCAGAGCGGGGTCATCATACCACAGCCTCCATAATTTTCAGTTCTGTTTCAAACCTGTGGACCAGTAACCCTCTATAGTTTTACTTGGGATATACTCCTGGATATGCTCTTCTTGGTATTTTATTTTAATGATTGAAATATTTTCTGCATTTATTTGACTCATCCTGGAAATACTTTAAAGGGTTGTTACAGTGAAAAGTCTTTCTCCATACACTGACTCTGCTACAATAGTAGGAGAAAAACTTACCATTAATTTCCAAACGGTGGAAAAGTATCGTCCTTGTTTATTTGAAATTTGAAAATAGAATAAACATAATTTGAAAATTAAATATCATAAGTAAAAATGTGGACAGTTCAAATACATATATTTGATTTTTCCTTTCAAATTAACAAGCTTATTTGAAATAGTAAATTTCACATCCTCGAGGTGAAATGTAATCATCGTGTTTTTTGGAGATCAGCTCTTTCTGATGATCCCAGAAACATGTTTGTGCAACTGATAAGCTTACCACAGTATTCTAGTGCTAAGTTGTACTATTTAATATATAAACAGTTTATCCCCAATGTTGTGTTCTGGGCTTGTTATGCAAAATCCTATGTAAATTACGAATTAAATTGTACTGTATTTCTTGACTAATCCCTTTTCCATCTGAACGTTTAAGTTTGGCAGTCTTCTCCTGGTGTGACTTGCCTTACTGGTAACCGTCACCGGCTAGCAACTCAACCAAACAGAATGTGTAAATGGATTCTTTAACAGCCAGCTGCCCGTGACAGTGCCGAGACCCGTGCTGTCTTCCCAGGCTCCCTCCCAGGCCCTTGCTGGGGTTTCTAGTTTCTAATTTTCGAGGGGCTGGAGGTTTCATGTAGGGGAGGTTGCGGGCAGGGACCAGTAATGCTGTCATTTGGGTGCGTCGGCAGAGTCTGCGGGCCGGAGTCCCTTCAGAAATGCTAACTCCCCTGTGGCTCCTGGGACAGCAGACCACCCGCCACGAGGCACGGGAACTCCTCTTCCCCCATGGGTCGGGGGGACTGTGGGGCCTTCAGCGGGGAGGGGGCAGAGGAATGCCCTTCCGACTTGGGTGGGTGATGGGGGGCAGGCACTCAGCATTTACTCTCCTGCCTCAGAGGCCTGGCGGATTATAGCCTCCCAAGTCCCCAAGCTTCTGGGCTGGGACAAGACATGGGGGGGACTGGGAGAATCCCGTGACCAGGCTGGTCAGATGTGCTGGGCAAACTGAGGACTCTCACTTTCTCTTGGGGGAAAGTGCTCAGTCTCTGCTGGTGTGGGTGGTGGAGGCTACTTACCCCCATCACCCCTGCCCAAAGACTGTCCTTCTCCGTTAGTGTGATGGCTCAGACGCGGCTCTGGAACCCCGTTGCTGGTACTGAGGCTCATCTCCATCCCATTGGAGCCGTGTGTTGTTGGGAGGTGTTTCCGCACCTAAGCCCCCATTTTCTAGTAGATTGGAGATAGTCAGAGGGGTCAGGAGAGTGCCTGCCACGTAGCACGTCAGTCACATCCCTTAGCTGTTATAATTATGAGATGCCAATCCACACTCACCTCCGACCCTCACCCTTCAACTGTCATTACTTCTGAAGCAGCCTAAGAATTAGGAAATCGGAAGGAGAGAAACCCAGTCGCTGATACGGTTACAGCTTTTGAACTGCTGGGGACCCTACTCAAATCGCTGGGCGTCCAGCTACCGCTGGGCTGTGCCTGCAGAAGTGGTACCATAGCCCCCTCCTTGTCCTCCGGCCTCCAGCCCCCCACCCCCGTCTTCACTAGCTTCACCTCATCTCCTGCCCTCCACACTCCCGGCAGGAGTGTCCACCTGCTGCCACGGCTAACATACCTAGTCCACACCCACCCAGAAATACCTGGAATAAAATGCACGTGTGATTTCGGGACCTACGACACAGATATCTTATGACCTAAACGGTCTCAAACGTATTCACCCAAGGCTATGGGAGGAGACAGGTTGCCTCGAGGCCCTGGTGGGGAAGGGGAGAAGGTCCATGTCTGGAAGCTGTGTTTGCATATTTTATGGAGAAGAGGTAAACGGGGGGTGGTGGGGTGGTGGTGGTGGTGGTTTTGAGGGTGCTGGTGGAGATGATGGGGCCTAAACCTACCCCCACCCCCAGCCGTCATGAGAAATGTTTCTGGTCACCTATCAAGTTTCCTTCTTGGGGTGCCTGACCCAGTGGGGACACATCAGAGTAGGCAGGGGGGAAAGTGACCGGTGCCCTCGTGGCCACCGACCACAGAGAGGTGCCGGTGCCACGACAGGAGCGTTCAGAGAGCTGGGCGGGGCCGCTGGGGCCGTTGGTCACATACGAGTGTACCCACATTTGAATGCTCTTAGCTAAGCTGGGGCCATACCCCACACAACCTACTTACGTTCCTGGGTTAGCCCAGAAGAGCATATCCTATGGAAAATGATTTTTTGCAGATCTAAACAACCGACAGTTCTCCATAAGTAATGCAGGGACTGCTTGTATGAAACTTTGACTTTATGACGTATTGCTCTGTAATTATTCACTGAATTATTCATGTATTCAACAAACGTTTGAATATCGAAGGAGTGTTTTCGTGTCTCTACCACTAGAATCTAAGTTGACGGTGAAGCTGTCTCATTCATTCTGAACCACTGCTGCAGCAATAAATACTCTCCTTTGCTCACAGGAATCACTCCTGAAAAGAACTTAATGTCTGGTACTTCCTATATCATGATTTAACTGAAACTGGTCTATTTTGCCTATTCAAAGAAAACTAGGTTTTTAATTTTAAAATGACAGTCTTTCAGCAGTGGCATCAACATTATATAAAAGCAAAAGCAGGAAGATTCCCTGAAATGTCTTTTCCCCACCTCTGAGCTCCAGCCAGCTTTCTCCTCCGACACCGGACTGCAAGGCCGGCCCGGCCAGAGGTACCACCCGCCGCCGCCACCTGGCCCACCATCTTAAAGGCACCGAGAGGCTACTCAGGATTTTCTCTCCAACGTGCAAGGACTCCGCCTAGGGCTTAGGACACGCCCGGCTCTCCCCGCCTCTGGTGGATTAAAACTAGCCCCTGGCGGTGGAAGGCCAGCTGGGGAGCCTCGCCCGGTCCAGTCGCTCGTGACACCAGCCGGGCGCAGCGGCTCCTCGCCCCGCCGCGTCCTCGGCCACCGCGCTCGGCTCCTTCTCCCGCCGGCGCGTCTGGCTCGGCGTGGCCCGGGCGGACGGTGCTGTGCCCGCCGAGCCAGGCGAGGAGACCCGAGTCGGGGCAGAGCCCCGGGCCCCAGAAGGGAGGGAGGGAGGAAGGAGAGAGGGGTGCCTTGGCGTGAAGCCCTGGCTGTGGGCGCCGGGACGTGAGGAAGCCGGAGATGCTGCGGCCGGACCGAGGTGGGTGCGGAGCGAGGACGAGGGCCAGACCCCGGCCACCCACGGGGAGGGCGCTGAGCCCCGCGCACCGAGACTAAAGCCGCCCCTCTCCTTCCAGGGCGCTGACGACCCGCCGGCCTGGCAGCACCATGCCGTTCCCGCCCCTGCAGCCGCCGCCGCCCACCCCCGCCCCGGGGGTCCCGGCCGCGCGCCCACCGCCCCGGAAGCCGGGCGCCACCCGCAAGGCGGCCGTGCCCGCCTGCGCCCCGCCGGGGCCCTTGCCGCCCGCCGCGGCCGCGGAGAAGAGACGGCCCCCCGAGCGACCCCCGGTGCTGCTGTCCAGCTCCTGGCCCTCTGCCACCCTGAAGAGGCCGCCG